CTAAGTGCCCACATTTTAATTATGTGACCATGGAGATGCTGCAAGTCTTAAAAGTGTGAAAACTGGTCATACTGTGTCACTTTTTTTCAGTGCTATTGTATCTTCAAATGGCCACTAAATGGGTGGTTATAAGTCAAGGATTACATGTAATACTCTCTAACTTTTTCTTTGCAATAATATCTCCAATATATGATGATCTGAACATAGAATTAAGGTGAACAATTTAGAGATATATTGGGTTGATATAATAGCCAATGAGTGCAGTTGCAATGCCTCTTTAATAGGGGATCCAAGTCAAGGGATTCTCACCTCTTGTTGATCTTCCTGACTGCATCCCAAAAGGACGTATACAAGAATGTGAGGAAGAAGATAGACAGTCACTTTAAAGTCATTCTTCATAATTATACTGCAGCAATTAAAAACCTTACTGGCAAGATCATGTCGCACCTGGAACAAAGGTAACAGTTTGAATGTAAAATTTTGAGAGGAAAATGTGTTAAGGCTGGCATAGCTGATGAAAGTTGATAAGACAATATTTTTTATAGAGAGCATCTAACTTAATTATTGGTTATTGTTCCTACCTTTGTTGTTAGATAGCCAGCCCAGCTTGCTGACCATTCTGCAAAGTTTTTGCCTAATTTGCTTAAGTAAATTGGTGTCTTCATTTTAGACCAATTTATAGCCTTTTGATAACTCTTGTATCTGTAAATGGAATTTCCAAAATTTGTTAAATCACATTATTTTAAGGACAATCAACCAACATTCTAGCATCACTACTTGAATTTAAACTATTCTTGTTGTTAGAAAAACTTCTCTAACACTCCACTGAAATCTGCATTCCTCTAACTAGTCCGCTTACACCTGAATGTGATTCAAGACAGGTTTTGAAGTCTCTCATGGGATATACTATGTGTAATATTGAATATCAATTTAGTTATCTCTTAACAAAGTTAACCATTCTGATTTTTCTCATACTTTTATATACAATGTGGCTTTGAGTTTTGATCATCCTTGCTGTTTTCTCTGAACTTGTTTTAGTTTATTAGATTTATTCTTGAAATTACAGCAGCTGAAACTGCTCACTGATGTGCTATTAAGCTATTTAAATGACTGAACACAATATGTGAACCAATTTATGTAAAACAGAAAAATGTATGGGTTATGTAACTTTTCTTAATTATATAATTCTACTTAAAATTAGTACAAAAATTATACATATCTAATATTTACACAATATATAATTTGTATAAACTCATATTAGGAATTGTCTGCTAGCTTATTCAACTGTGTAATTCAGATGTGATGTACAATTTTGCTTAAGTAGAAAGTAGAGAAAGGCTATATTTAAAACTACCTTGATTTTTTAAAAATTTGAAGTAAAAAAACTAAATTTATTTTTCATACCGGGTTTTTAAATGAGGTTCCAATATTTCCTGAATATGTTCTGGAAACATTTTCCAAAGTGCTGCGCCTGCTTCAACAGTAGACATCTCACTAAGGTTATATATAGATAGCAGTTCCTTAAAAAACAAAATTAAGAATCCACATTTAATTATTTTTAAGAATTATAAAAATGAAAAATTCCATTGCTGATTAATAACCGACTGAAAAGTCTCTTTTGAGTCAAACTTGACACATGTTAATTACTATATAAACACATGCAATTTTCTTACCAGGAAATGGTTAAGAAAATGGTTTCTTTTTTCCAGGATATATTCTTGACTCCTTTGTCCACCCTAATCCTGGAATTCCCTGCTGATCTTTCACTCAAGCCAATCTTGCTTAATGTTCTAAATAGCCAAAGTTGGTTAGATCTGCTACCTGTTGAGGCTTATTAGCCAATGAAAAGGTTCCAACCAAATTCTGACTCTATTGGCAAGGCAAAGCTCCAAAAATCTATAATTACCAAGATCAAACAACAATCTATGACTATATCTTACTAAGAAAATTATGCTTCAAAATGGTTTGTTTGTCCATAAGAAAGAACAATAGGCAACAGACTTGGGAGTTCTTTGGTTTTTAAATGAGTAACTAAGAAGCAGCAGTACCATTCTTTAGAATCCTGGTTTACTGTGACCATATTCTGACACCATGGTACTGAATAGCAATAGCCCTTAGACTTATATACTGCTTCATAGTGCTTTTACAACCCTTTCTAAGTGGTTTACAGAGTCAGCATATGGCCCGCAACAATCTGGGTCCTCATTTTACCCACCTCTGATGGATGGAAGGCTGAGTCAATCTTGAGCAGGTGAGATTCAATCTGCTGAACTGCAGCTGGCAGTCAGCTGAAGTAGCCTGCAGTACTGCACTCTAACCACTGCGCCACTTCGTGCACATCACAAATTCAGAAAACTGAATTTGTTTTTTTAATTTTTAAATGTTATTTAATAAGTAATAAATTAACAGAATACTAGGAAAGGAAATATCCTCACCTGAATAGCATATGAAGCAGAATCTTGAGCTCGGACATTGTCAGCATAAGCAAGGAATGCTCTTGTCAATTCCATGAGTAATCCATATGCAAAATTTGAATCTTCTACGCCCGCCTCAAAGCAAATATCTTATGTTAATATTCTCATTCTCATTATCCAGGTCAAAATGTCATTATAAATTAAAATAAAATGTGTTGGAACTCCCAATAATAATGTTGCACAAATGATTTTCAGCAAAAAAACCCTATACTTGTTCAGTGATCAGGACTAAATGAAAATCAGAACAATCGCTCTAGCATTCTTGTGTCACATGGATGCTTAAACAGTAAGGGTGCACTGAAACAAGTAAATTATATACAACTACAGATTTTATCATTTTTTTCTTATATAAAATACCACACCTACCAGCATTAAAAATGTCAATGTTAGGATTACTTACCACAAACAGAAGTCCTTTTCCTTGGTTGTCACTTGTTGAGAAATCCAATCTACCTGGATCTATAGCTCCCAATTCTCCTAAACACTCCCCAGAGAGTAACCGTACATGAGAATTCACATCCTGACAGCCAATCAGGAGGACTGTCACCAGTCGAGAAACAACTGGCTCAACAGTTTCACTATCCGTTGAATATTTTATCAGCGTTTCCTAGGAAAAACAAAGAAAAAAAGAGTTAATAAATTATGTCCACAAACATCTGTTGGCTTTCACTGAATTACCATTCTTTTGTCATTCTTTCAAACAATACAACATTAAAAAAAATTAATAAGAAATGTAGGAATGAAATAGAACAGTCTATTTAGGGACATACTATAAAGTAGCCTTGGAAAAAGTAAGGAAGACCTATTAGTAAAATGTTGCTTTGCTGAAAAAAACCCTGCATTCTTTCTTGCAAACTATTTTCTTATCCAAGCATACTACAGAAACTTTTTTATCAGAGTGAACTACTCAATGATGAGATTTTTATTTCGTGGCATTTATTTATTCAGAAGGCATCCTTTTCCCTACACCCTGAAATGACAGAATTTATTTTATCTTTGCTTTGCTTTTGTTAAACTGGTTGACTCTAAGATGCTGTAAAAAATGAACATGGAACTATTTCCATCTCCAAAAGAATTTGATTGACAGGGTCTCTTCTCTAGGATTTTAGGTGGATTGAGGCTTTTTTCATTGTTTCTGCCAATATTTTTAATTTAAAATGCCAAGTATCCTTCTGCATGTGATGCATGACTCTGCCCCTGAAATATGGTCTCTGTCTCATACAGTTTCACCATCATGCACCAAATTCACCTCTCCCTTCCATAACACTTTTCCCCCCTTTCTTTAGCAAACAATACTAATCACGCAAAGAAATACGTTGTATCTTGTCACTATTCCAAGATAGGAATCTATGTCTCTTGATAATCTGGACCATTTCAAATCCCTCATCACTGACTGCTGGCACTGAACGCTAGAATTGGAAACCAACAACTGGCAAATCGAAATTCTCAAATCATTTTCTAAGACACTGAAAAAAGAAAAGAGAGGAAATAAGAACGTAAGAGCTTTATACATTTAACCACAATGGAACACACAGTTTTAGGTAGAAATTGAGAAAACATATAGATATGATTTCAAGACTATATGAATCAGTGATGTTGTACTTTGGTCATTATTAGGTTAAGATCCTCAGGATCTCCTTTTTTCAGAAATGCTGGCAAAAGAGTAACAATAAATTAAGTGTAAGAAGATGGAGACAAATGCTTTAAAACTTTTGTAACATAGAAGTACCTCTATTTTAATTAAGTAAGAATCAAGAATTAAAATGGAAGAAATGCAATTTAGCTGTTTCAGATCAAGGGATAAAAATATTTTGTGTTTATACAAACGGTAACAGACTCATTAATTTTGCTGTTAATTATAAGAAAAAAGATCACAGCAAAACTTATGAGATTTCTTCTTCCATGTCTAGATCAAACTTTAAACTGCCAGAATGAAATTACCTATTTGGCTTTGTTGTTGGCCAAAAATAAGTCATTATCAATACCTGTTTTTGGTAGTGAGAACTAATGAGATGTAGAAATTATTAAGTTTATTTATATCCATAAAACTGTTTTGGGATATAGGTACTCCTCACTTAACAACTGCAATTGTGAACACCAAGTCTACTGTTAAGTGAAACATTTTATGACCATGACTTATGATTTACTGCCATTTGACACTGCTTGTTAGAATCTGGCTGTGAAGATTGCAAATGATGCTTACATGACTGCAGGAATGCTACAACAGCCATATTTTTGAAAACTGGGTGTAAACCTACTTTTTCAACGCATAATTTTGAATAGTCTGTCAATGAGACTATACTAGATTATATTGATGCACATAACTATATGTATGTTTGTCAAAAGCAGAGCTAACTTCAGGAAGCTTACTAGGAGTTAAGTGAATATAATACTTCAGCCTGATTTTGAGTTCCACAACTTTACATACTTGGTTTTTATATAATGTTTCCTTTAGACTGGTGAGAGCATGGATCCGAACATCGACATTTTCATGTTGGATGGCTTTCATGGAGAGCTGTAACACTGTCTGCAAGTCTGTGCTCCTAGAAGTTTCCTGCATGGAAAAGATGGTTGCAGCTTTAAATTCTTTATTTTGCGAGGTACATATATCAAAATATATTTGCATTTATAGGAAAATGCTAACACACAACTTGCAAATTTAGAGGATGTTTAAAAAGTGAACAGGTTGTATTGTGCTTAATTTGGCTAAACAGTACTTCAGAACATATGAACATGCAGCACTTCAAACTAAACCGTATTTCTTCAGGTTCATAAAACAGCTAGAGAAGATGGCTGTGTCATTCTGCAAAAGGGCATGGCTGCTTTAAGGAGTTACAGGCAGATGATACATTTACATTCCCACATGCCCAAAGTAATTTTTGCCTCTAATCTAAAGCACTACGCAGCCTTAATATTTATACACGTACTTAATACAAGGAATCAAGGAATCTACTGAATTAAAACAATTAAACCATTTATTGGTGAGCTTTCTAACTTATATATTTCTTAGGAATTTAAAGCAGCTTAATTAATATGCCATCAATGTCAGCTTATAGCAACCACATAGAGATAAGGCAGTTTACCTTTTTCCTTTTCTTGGACAAAAGAACAAAAGACTAAATAAAAGATATATGGACTTTAATGCATTCAGGACATAAACGATAACTGTAAGGTGGTTTTCCATTTAATAATTGTTAATGACAAGAATTAATTAAATGCAGATAGGACAAATACCCGAGTTACTAAATGACATGCTGGAGAGTTTTTGTTCTATCAGTATCAAAGGTCCAGTAATTCATGTTATTTTCAAAGATTTGTATTCAAAATATAGAAAAAGTAATACCTTTCTATATTCCTGAAGAACTTTTTGGATTTCTTTCAATTCTGGATGATCAGGTAAAAAATAAATTTCATGTAAGAAGTCTTGGACTGCATCCCTAACCAATAAAACAAAATAATAAATACTGTTAAATAAAATAAAACACATTTTCAAAGCATGCACAATATATTTAAATATGCATACATTGGAATTGGTCAAGAATATACTTTAATTTTGTGAAAGTTACAGCTTGGGCTTTCAGACAGTCTGCCTTTATTCAAACCCATAGCAATGTGTGGTTTATTAACGAATACTATTATATATTATTATTATTATTTATTTATTCAATTTATATACCGCCCTTCTCCTAGTGGACTCAGGGCGGTGCACAGCCAAAACTAAAATACATAACAATACAAAATTTAAAATTAATTAAAAGAATTATATACTTTGGCCCGAATTAAAACAGTGCGAATTAAAACCCATTAACAAATTAAAACTAAACAATTAATAACCATTAAAAACTAAAAAAAGGGGGCGGGGTTCACGCCAGCCCTGCTTGCTGGAAAAGAAGAGTTTTCAGGGCTCGGCGAAAGACCCGAAGATCCGATATCCTTCTTATCTCCGGGGGCAAATCGTTCCAGAGGGCGGGGGCTGCCACAGAGAAGGCCCTCCCCCTGGGGGTCGCCAGCCGACATTGCCTGGCCGACGGCACCCTGAGGAGTCCCTCTCTGTGGGAGCGTACCCAGGTCCTATGCCATGGAGCGCTTTAAAGGTGGTAACCAACACCTTGAAGCGCACCCGGAAGACCACTGGAAGCCAATGCAGCTCACGCAGGAGAGGTGTCACATGGGAGCGACCCCTCGCTCCCATAATCCCCCGCGCGGCCGCATTCTGCACCAGTTGGAGCCTCCGGGTACTCCTCAAGGGGAGCCCCATGTAGAGAGCATTACAGTAGTCCAGGCGGGAAGTGACGAGTGCCTGAGTGACTGTGCGTAAGGAATCCCGATCCAGAAAGGGACGCAACTGGCGAATCAGGCGGACCTGATAAAAAGCCCCCCTGGCCACGGCCGTCATATGCTCTTCTAAAGACAGCCGTGCATCCAGTAGGACGCCCAAGTTGCGAGCCCTATCCGTGGGGGCCAATAACTCGCCCCCAATAGCCAGCGATGGTACCAGCTGGCTATATCGGGACGCCGGAAGCCACAGCCACTCGGTCTTGGAAGGGTTGAGTCGGAGCCTGTTACTCCCCATCCAGATCCGCACGGCCTCCAGGTACTGGGACATCACTTCAAGGGCATCGTTGGGATGGCCCGGGGTGGAGATGTACAGCTGAGTATCATCAGGGTACTGATGGAACTCCACCCCAAAGCCACGGATGATCTCACCCAGCGGCTTCACATAAATGTTGAACAGAAGGGGCGAGAGGACCGACCCCTGAGGCACCCCACAAACAAGGCGCCTCGGGGTCGACCTCTGCCCCCCTGCCAACACCGACTGCGACCGGTCAGAGAGATAGGAGGAGAACCACTGCAAAACAGTGCCCCCCACTCCCAACCCCTCCAACCGGCGCAGCAGGATACCATGGTCGATGGTATCAAAAGCCGCTGAGAGATCTAACAGGACCAGGACAGAGGAACAACCCCTATCCCGAGCCCTCCAGAGATCATCCACCAACGCGACCAATGCCGTTTCCGTGCTGTGCCCAGGCCTGAAGCCGGACTGGAGCGGATCCAGATAGACAGCTTCATCCAGGTACCCAGGAAGCTGTTGCGCCACCACACTCTCAACAACCTTCGCCAAGAAGGGAAGGTTGGAGACCGGACGATAGTTAGCCGGATCCAGAGCAGGCTTCTTGAGGAGGGGCCTCACCACCGCCTCTTTCAAGGCGGACGGCAAGACACCCTCGCTCAAGGAAGCGTTGATAATACCCTGGAGCCAGCCTCGCGTAACCTCCCGGGAGGCCAGCACCAACCAGGAGGGACACGGGTCCAATAAACATGTGGTCGCGTTCAGCCGCCCCAGTATCCTGTCCATGTCCTCGGGAGCAACAGGGTCGAACTCCTCCCAGATGGCAGTCTCAAGACCGACACCCATCATCCCGTCTGTACCTACCCAGTCAGAGACCAAGCCTTCCCGAATCTGAGTGATTTTATCGTGCAGATACTGGACAAAATCCTCGGCACGACCCTGCAATAATACACACATTCTCAGAAAATAACAATCTTCTCTTTTCCTCTCTCAACTGAGGGAGATATGATTTACAAAAGAAACATTAAAAGAAAAAGGAAGAAACTGCTACTACAAGAAACACATTGTTGATTGCAAATTTTCCATTTTGGGGGGATTTATGATATATTGTTAATGGCATTTGAAACTGAAGAAAGGACGATTTTGCAATATTACTTATTACATTTATATCTTGAGAAGCTTTTGTATAATCCCAGAAAGACAGTTATACACTTAAAAATACTTTGTTACCTGTTCTCAACTATAAGAAAATGGAAGATTGCTGCTGTTTCTTTTTGTTGAATATGTATGAGGGGCAAGAGAGCTACTATCACATGACTCAAGAGAGACCCAAGATGACTTTGATCCAAGCATCGTACAAAGCAATCCCAAGCCCTAAAACATAAAAGCAATATAGCATATACAGTATTGTTCTATATTTTTCAGCAATTAGACATTTCAAAATCAGCCATTAATTCAGGTGTACCACAATAATTTTTTAATTTTATATATAAGAAGAGACAGTAATAAATCAGGATTTTAGTAGTCTTACTTGCAACACAGTTGTGGGAAATCTTCTTTATATCTTAGCCCTGTCCTTAGTGTTGTCATCATCTTCACTCTCACTGCAGTTATATGTTTAGGGCCCATAAGCTTCATTAAAGCCATCAAACTGTTTAAAGCCTACAGTTGAGAAAATTCGGGGTTCAGTTAAGGTGCTAATAATGACTATAAAGCCCTATATGGATAGGGACTACATTATTTGAGGGATTGTCACTCCCTGGTTACATCTACCCACTTCATCAAGTCTAGAAGGAGGCATGCTACAAAAGAGCATCATCTATATCTGAAGCCAGGAAAAGAAACTTTTCTGCCATGATGCCTGCCCTTTGAAACATCATTCCCCCAGATCGTAGATTGGGTCTGATCCTGCTGGCCTGAAGACATGAATTTGCCATCACAAATGACCATGGGCTTCTAAAATGACCATGTTAGATATGAAATAATGATTGACTTAGCTACTGACTATAATTTTGTTTTAAAACAGTTTTATTGATGATTTCATTATAACCCATATCTGGGTGTTGTTTTAACTGTTGTGAGCTGCTCCGAGTCACTAAGGTGAGATGGATAGCTATAGAAATTGAACTAATTAATTAAATTTTAAAAATTACAAGTTAACAGTCCTTTAAGCAAAACAACAGGATTGGGATGTCCAGACTAGCTATGGAAAACATAGCACTGCTTCCCCCACCACCCCCAATGCCATGATCCATAAGGGAATTATTTTTTTTCCCCTCCAGCTTCTCCCTATAAATTCAAGCTGGTCCTTTACACACAGTCAAGCATTTTAACTATTTTAACCAGACTTTAATTTTTACCAAGATTATATATGCTTTTTGTGCACCAGTAGTGGGTTGCTACTGGTTCGCCCCGGTTTGGGTGAACCAGTAATAGTGGCAGTGGGAAGCTCCGCCCACCCACCCACACATCATCAAATACCCTCAAGTGCGCAAGGAAACCGGTAGCAAAGGTAAGTGAAACCCACCACTAGCGTGCACTAGAGGTTGGGTTCATAGGCAGTGTATCTATCAGTTACTTAGGACTCCCTTTTATAAAAATAATCAGAAATTATGAATATACACACAAGCAAGTTGTTTTTATAATACTAAAAGCAAATAAAATTGCAAAAATTAAAAAAAAACAACTTTAGGGTTAATATTAACAAGAGCAGCTAAAAAGTAAATACTATCTTCAAGTATTCCCTCACAAATATTTCATTGCCAACTAAGAAAAAAACCCGTCATGTCTATTTTGTTTTCAACAAAGGATTTACTCACCATTTTCTTATCTTCAATCCCAATACTAGAGCTCAACAATTGCATGTTGAAAAAGGCCAAAATGCCTAGCAATTTTGGTTGTAAATAATCAGCCTAAATAGTGATAAAACATATTCTGATATATTAAAATATTTAAAGATACAGGTCTAATAATATCTGGCAACATACTTTACATTTAGTCTAAACCATAAAATGTGGTAAAATATTCCCATTTCCTTTTAGTCTCATCCTGACTGATGATTAAAAAAAAATCAATTCTCATGATTTACAGTGTATATCTTGAATGGTATTTTTCAGGTACACTGGCCATCAGGAGACACCATCTAACTGAAAAATACTGTACAGGATATATGCTGTGTAAAAATAGAGAAATTCCTCCTCCCTCTCCAAGAAGAAACATGGAAGTCAGGTAAAATACTAAGCTAATTTATCTCTCTGCTCCAAGGGCTTAAAAGGTGATGAGCTGAATGTACAATTCCAACAGAGTTTCTAGAAGTGCTGGTCTAGGTTTATCAAAAGGTAATGCTTGCAAAAACTTAATCAGGCCACATTCAGAACAAATTGCAGGTCATCCTTGTTTGACTGCCTCATTTAGTGTCCATTTATAAATTACAACAGTCATGAAGCAACTGCTTCACTTAACAATTGAGCTGCTGATCCCAATTGTGACTAATAAATAATAACATCTATTTCCTATCTGAATAGTCGTGCATCACATTGCCACATACATGACCACCACATCACTCATAACTTTAATTCATGAAAGTCATCTCTCCTTTTTTAAATATAACTGAAAGTTTTTTTTTTTTAAAGTATAAATCAATACAAACTAAATTGTTAAGTGAAGAAGGGGGAAAAAACAGAAAGGAAGAAATAAAAGAGAAATCTAAAGTGTAAAAAAAGACATAAGAAAAATACAAAAGAAAAAGAAGTGGTTTCTTATCTTCTTTAGATCAGTTATAAGTATAGATTTATCTCTTTTCTCTAAAGTTATATTATGATTCTTCTTTTTATAGTCTACCTGATCTAATCATAAACACCATAAATTCATTTTTTTCTGTTTTATACAAAAAAGATCATGGGGCTTGAAAGACACCTCTCCTAAAATATTGAACAAAAGCAATGCATCATAGTAATAAGATATAAATAGTTAACTGGGTTACAAATGTTTATAACATATATACATCAATATCTGTTAGTCAGAAAGAGTGCTACTAGACTCCTGATTTATTAGCCACCATAGATTAACATGGCTCTCCTCCTACAAAGGTTACAAGAGCTATTCCTTTCTCTCTTAATAGGGCAGAAGAACCTACAAATTGGTATGGCTACTTACCATTTGCTCAGGAGATGTGATGTCCTTTGAACCTTGATATGGGTCATCATTCAAAGCAAATGAAGCTAGAATTGATAATCCATTGAAGACCTGCTGATAATGCTCCCCTAATCGGAGCAATAATTCATTATGCAATCCCTGAAAATCCTGTCTCAGCAAACTTCCCAGTTCTATCTCTGTTTCATTCTATAAAACACCATGGAAAAAACGTATTGGCTTGAAAATTATACAAGCATGTGCACAACATAAAAATATTACAGTACAATTCCCATTACTGCAAATACAGGTGAGCCACTAATTTGCTAAATGAAAACTAAAGGGGGAAATAAATGTTTATAATATCCTTCAATGGTTTGTAAATTAGTTTTTGTTCTGCAACCAAAAAAAAAAAAAAGGGACATACAATTAAGGCTTGGTTCGTCCCTTGAAGATTAAATTTATTTCAAAGAGGATCTTAGAATAACTTAGAAGTACCCAAGAGGTTTACTGTGATTGCAGCGAGGCTCCATGACATTTATTCAATTTTCAATGCATTCCAAAACACGATCACTCTTACTGTTCTGAACTTTCTTCTATAAAATTTAACCTTACCTTAAGATAATGAAGTGCTCTCTCCAGCTCATCCTTACTACAGAAGCAAACTAAATGAGAGAAGATGTACTTGAAATTGTTAATGAGGATCTCTCTACGGTTTACATTTAGTTGTTTTGCTATCATTCGGATAAGTACAGAGGCTGCAGGACTAGCCTTGGCCGCAAGGTCAGGCAAAAGCACTTGGAGAATCCGCTGGAAATATAAAAAGATGGCTGTTTTTGGAATGTTATACCTTCATGTAAGTAAATGTACACATGTAGTTTCACTCTTCCTAATTCAAAATGACAATGCTAAATCATTTTAACCCAGAGTACTCTACACATGTTGCACAGCGCAAATCCCATCATCTCTAGCCAACATGACCAATGAAAGTCACAATACTGAGGGCTGAATTTTGTGTGTGCATGCCTTCATATCTGTCTTGATTCTTGGCAACTGCCTGGACAAGTCCCTGAAGTTTTATTGGCAAGACTTCCAGATGTACTTTGTGGCTACCTTCTTCCTAAAGCTGATAGTGTGTGACTGGCCTAAAGTTACCCAACTGGTTTTATGCCTAAAGTGGGCCTGGAACTCACACCTTCCCAGTTTCCACTGTGGATCCTTAACCACTACAACAAATTGATTCTCCAGTTAGAGGAAACCAAGTTGAAAAGGTCACTCTAATTTAGGCAACTATTTATCAGCAGTGGAGAAAATCCTCAATACTTAGTATTTTAAAATCCATGTGCATTGTCATTCCCAATTAGACTACATGATTCTGCCCTAACCCAACATTTTTCATTTTCTATGCTCCACTGAGATACGGTATTTATGATTAAGGATATTACTGATTAAGATTCACTTAATGAGAAAGGAGCAGCTTCCCTATATTTGCCATGACAAGCTATAAAAGCATTTGGCTGTTCATTACTCGCATAAAAAGAAACTCACTATGAACATGTCCTATTGTTTTTTTTGTATCTATTTGTATATGTGTATTAGTTTTATATATTTTTTATAATGAAATGATTAATCAATAAATTTCTATTCTATTCCATTCTTTTCCATCCCATCTGATCCACAAAGGAAACAGATGTGGTGTCATAGTTAATACAGGGTACAAGGGCAAGGAGACTGAGGCCATGGAAGCTCATTAGATGACCAATTGTCGATTGTCCCCTCAGGCCAACCCACTTCAGAGGACTGTTGTTGTAAAAGAAAATAAACTATGCTTATATGCAAGTGTTTATGAAATAAAAATGCTAAGTATAAATGAAATGAACTAAGTATGTCCCTGGTTCCTTGTTATTTCCTTAACTGTTTTAATCCTGTCTTAAATTCCAGAAGTGAGTAAAGACACTGAAAAGAGGGCTTTAAGTAATGAAGCAAAGTGAGATTAAGGCAGGTGAAAGTTTACCCTCCATCTTGGGCATAAGCTACGACTGAAAGAATCCTTCATAAAACATATGTACTTTCAAGCAAAAACTTCCCTGCATAAATCTGGGAGGAGGTCAAAGGAAGAGGCCACAGGAAAACTTGACCTGAATTAGAATGGCTAACAGAAAAGAATACAAGAGACACAATTCAGGAATTTCACCTGGCTTAATTCCCCCCCCCCCCCCCCAAGATGAACCAATATAGAAATCTAATAAATCTTAAATTGCTACTTACACTAAGAAAACGATTAAGGTCTGGAAAATCAAAAACATTAGCAATTTCAGATAACATGTCCAGAACCATGTCTCTTTGATGAACAATCTCTTGCTTCTGCATTTCACTGCTTTGCCGGGGAGTGTTTGCAAGCAGGGCCATCTGAGTGGAGTGTAGAGATTCTGCTAAAAACTAAACAATAAGAAATGCATTTATTCTTATTTCAGTCAGTTGAAAACAAGCAATGTTAATTAGGAATAATATGTCAATGGATCATTCCATCAATTTTAGAACCATTTCAACAAATTCTCTCCCAATCAAAACAATGTGCATTTAACAGCCCCACCCCCAAGCCTCACACTGATAGTATAAGCATACGAAGTGTTTAACATACTTGAATTTAATACTGTTTTGGATGAGAGTAAGAATAATTTTACTCTATAAAAATGTAAGAGCTTCTTCTGAAACAAGCAAATATGTACATAGACATAGAGTGTTCAAATCAGAAGCTTACAAGTAAATATGAACAAAAGAGCATCCACCCATTCTTGCTCCATAGAAGTTGTATCAGATACTTGAAACAATTATATCCCCCTGTAATTCTAACTATCATTTAAGCCATCTAAAAGAGTTGCTATCATCTTATCTCAGGGCAGCATTGCCTTTCATTCTAAAACTTCCACAACTGAGCTTCAATTAATGACCCTGATTCTATTATGAAGGTTACAAAATTACTCTGCTTATTCCAGATGATCACATTCTCCTACTTGCTTTCTTTCCAAACGAAAAGAGAGAAGTGTTTTCAATAACTTCATATTTTTAGTTCCGTTTCTCTAGCTTTCTCAGCTCTTAATATCCTGCCCTAAGTGAAAATTATATTTAGTATTCCAAGTTTGGTAATGCTATCCGCTTTTTATTTGCTGTCAACTTCTTTTTTGCAGCTATATAATGGCCCAAATACCACTGGGCAATCTATCATACCTCAAAATCCCTTACATATTTAGTCAGTTATCACTAGTTCAAAACACACAAATGAATGGGAAAGTTAGGACACTTTTACCGCAATGCATCACACTTGCTTACACAGAGCCACATTTGCCGTTTTAATGCTCATACCTGTTAAGTTTAATACAGGTACTGTTTGCCTTATCATTTGTTCAAATACAGTTCAAAGCTACAACAGCCTTGGAAAAGGTAAATTATAATCTGTATTTGCGCTTACAACTGTTGCACCACCTATAAGTCACATGAGCAAAATTTGGGTGCTTGGCAACGAGCTTGCATTTACAACCAGTTGCAGCATCCTATGATTATCTGACACAAAAAAGATCCATGGGAAAGCTGGATTCGCTTAAACATATGATTTGCTTAACAACCACAATGATTTGCTTAACGACTGCCATAAAAATTTGTCACAAAATGGGACCTGATTCAACCCCAATGATTTACAATGAAAATTCCAGTCCCAATTGCAATTGTAAATTGCAATTGCCTACCTATATCAGTAAGTGGATCAAGAGAAAGCCCAACTGTCTCTTGTCCTACCATGTTTCTCCAAAGACAACCCACCTTGAAAAGAAGCCCTATCATGTTTTTGAACACATGCGATCAAATTAAGCCCCACCTACAAAATTAGCCCTCATTAAGTCCCCTCCCACCCCAAGGTGCAGGGACACAGGTAAAAAATAAGCTAGGGTGGGGATGGGGGAGGGGGTGGAGCTGCCCTACCTACCAGGCCTCGCACATTCCAACACCTGCCTCACCTTCATCTGCGGCCATTTGCCGCCACTCGCATGCATTGCCCTGGTTTCCATTTCGACTTCAGATGCCTACTGGCATCTGTTAACTGCTGCAGCTGATAACAGAAGTCCGGATCGATCTGGAGCTGTTATCTGCTGCAGATGCCTTCCGGAAGGCATCTGAAGGCAAAACAGAGGCCGGGGTGATACGTGCAAGTGGCGGCAAGTGCCGCAGAAGAAGTGGGCCAGCAGCAGGCTCCTGCTGTGCGGGGCTGTTGGTGCCACTGCTGCAAGGTGAGCCAATAATTAGAACCCTCCAAAAAGAAGGCCTAGCCGTTTTTTCGAGGGTCAAAAGAAAATAAGAACCAGCCTTCTTTTTGGAGAAACATGGTATATCCACTGATAAATATTAATAGTCTGTGAGTAAATGTGGGAAAATAAGTAATGGATACTGTTCACTTATAATGATTGTAGTGTCCCATGATCATGTGATCACCATTTGCAAACTTCTCTGCCAACTTCCCACCAGCAAAAACAAAGGAGAAGCTGGCAGCAAAGGTTGCAAGTCACTCACATCATCCCCCTCCCCCATACAGCAGCAGCATCCATGCTTGGCCCTACCATGCATGCACCAATTTTGGCGATTCTCACCTGACAGATGGGTTTCTTGTACTGACTGAAAAAAGCCTGCAGTTTTACAGACCTGGCAGAAGCCAGCATTCTGATTTCTGTGTATGCTGATCCTGCCACAGATGCTGACTTGGATAATAAACAATGCAGTAGGTGCAACAATGCAAAGCGTACCAAATCTCCTGTTGCTGACCTAATAGAAGATAATAGTAATCAACATTAATGAAATGTAATATTAACATACAAGATAATACATGGGAAAACAAAACATATTAACTTATCCATAAACAAATATAACAGCTAAACATTTCATTTCGTCAGCAACTAAAGTGAGATTGCTTTTATTCTGTAAATACTATCAATAATTAACCATTTTCCATGTAAGGTCTTCTTCAGGTGAAGTATTTATAAAAGCAGCAAAAGAAATCTATTAAGAAGCATTACCTTCCAATATCTCCCGTAGTGAGAATCAGTGTATCTTTCAGTTCATTATTCCTTGACATTTTTGCATTTGTATAAGCCTCTTTCATTCTGGAAACAAACAGCTGAAGGAGAAAATAAAGTATTATACTCATTGCTGCAAATACAACTTAATAATTTGCTGTCTCTAAATACACAATAAATTCACCTCTTTGATGAATTCTTCCTCAGAGTCTGAAGCATTTAATATATATTTGATGTGATTACTAAATGCTACTCTTACATCTTTATCTGGATCTTCCAATAGCTTTAAGAAAGCTCCAACAACAGTTTTTAC